CTCTCTTCCTCTCTCTTCCTCTCTCTTCCTCTCTCTTCCTCTCTCTTCCTCTCTCTTTCTCTCTCTCTTCCTCTCTCTTTCTCTCTCTTTCTCTCTCTCTTCCTCTCTCTTCCTCTCTCTTCCTCTCTCTTCCTCTCTCTTTCTCTCTCTCTTCCTCTCTCTTCCTCTCTCTCAGCATACTATTACACTTTGTTAATGAAAGTAAAAGAAATCACATTCATATTTTTTTCCAGAGACAAGAAAACCCTACATAATCCCCTGTTGACATCTGTGGGGAGATTAATCAGGTGAGCATGTTGCTGGAGCAGTGGTTCTATATCTTATCCCCTTATCCTTTGACTTGGACGAGGGAGAGGAGATGAGATTTTTTTGGTTAATTTTTGGTTATGTTTGCTTGTTTTGTTTTGTTTTTAATGTTTTTTTAAGTTGTTTGTTTTTATTTGTTTTATTTATTTATTTATTCATTTTTTCTTTAGAATAACTAAGACTTCAAAGAGGAAGTTATTTTTAAACCCAAGTATCGTGTATTGTTAACGATATGCATGGAATTATTAAGCCTTTACTTTTGCTCTTTTATGATTTGGTTAATGAAGCCTGTCAAACAGCCCATACAAAGATTAGTCTCTGTACTAATGTTCTTTCCACTGGGAATAGGTGATAATTAAAGAATTTCCTACTTGCATGGCAAAGTCAACTGTCTTTAAAAATCATTTCCAAGACTTTGACACACTCTCGTATTTAAAATATATATATTTCCGAAGTTACACTCACGTTGATCTAGATAATATGATTTTACTCCAAACAATGCTGAACTTACTTTATAATTGTCTCTTAAAGATAAGTGCTAAAACAGCCTGCCTCTTAATTGATCTAAACTTGGGTCGACGGGGGCGTTCACCTTCTATAATTACAATTACTTCCATACTCATAGACATAGAGGGGTATCTCGGTCGAGCGGTAAGGCATCAGACTAGCAATGTAAACACTAATAGATCGATTTGAAACTCTTTCCAGTAGATTCTGTCTGTATCCAAGGAAAGGTGTTCTAAACTCCTCCGTCCACTTAGCTGACAAATTGCTACCTCAGAATTGCAAAGCTTTATCTGCTCAGGACCTAGTTTTGAGAAATTTGATGTCACAACAACTTCAAGATATTTCGTATGCAGTTCTTTGATTTGAATAGTATCTTTAAAACGACTCCAAATAATTTTACGATTTTGATATAGAGCGGATAAAGCATTTGATTTCTAATCTCATGGTCTTAGTAACTCAAAGAGGCCAATAATGCCTTATGCAGTTGCGAGCGCCATAAAACCGTACTAAAATTAAACTTTAAAAAATGGAGATGCAGAACTATGCAATTCTGAGGTAGCGAAAAGGGGGCTCTATCTGGCTGTCTGTACAGTTGGAACGTGGGAATGATAGCGGTGAATACCTAATAGGCTGCAATGCTGTATGTTTTCAGTGTGGGTGGGTGTTAAGTTGGGGGGGGGGGGCAAAATGATAAGTTGGACTGAGCAAGCCGGTATATTGGATTCGTTATGACGTCATGTAAGCTTTCGTGGGTGGGGCTGGGGGAGGGAGTGCATTATTTTAACAATCAGTCTAACCTTATACATGTAAGGTTTTGTTCATTGACTCTGCAGGTATCACTTGGGTTCTGTTGCATTTGGTTCACTTATCATAGCCCTGGTGTCGCTGGTCAGGATGATTTTGTCCTTCATAGAGGGCAGGTGAGTCATATTTACTGAGCAACGAAATTAATTGATATACCAGTTTTATTCACACTATACACGAACGATTGCCAAATAAACAACAGTAACATCAAGTTGATAAAATTTGCAGATGATTCAACTATAATTGGGC